AATACTAGGACCCACACCGCTTGACTAGGAGACCTCTTTATAGTGTTAAAGACCTCCCGGATGGTTGACAAATGTACAACATCGACTAGTCTTCATTCTTGGCCACACATGTGTCATCTCTACTACTTTGTTTCTAACGCACTTCCCATGCATAAGTAGAGTTTCATGCCATGCATCTAGTACACAAAATAAATAGCGACTTGGTGGGTTGGGTCGTGCGTTGACTTGTGAAGGTTACGTTGTGGGTTTGATACACCATGGCGGCACCTCCGATCCTATATTATTTTGCTCCAGGCTTTCTTCTTTTTGGGCAATACAAATGGACCCCACTTGGGTCAAGACTTTCGTTCCCAATAAAATGCCCTCTGGGTCCCATGGCCCCATCAAGTAATTAACTTGTTACAATTGAGTGTCAATTTATTTTTTTTTTTTACGGTCATTAATTATTTATGAATTAGCTAAACTCAACATGACTAAATTAGATGTAACATACCAAGAATTTTGTGGTCCATTGGTATCCGATTGCTCCCCATAGGTTCGAACTTCACTTGAGGGAACTAGTGTGTATATGTAGGGTATCCCCTTCCTAAAAAAAAGAAGAAGATTAACATATGCATCATTTAAGAAAACATTTGGTTAAATTTTTTGAAGAAATTAGCAATAATATATCTTTTGTCTCACGGGAGTATGTGTGATTTTATGGGTTTTGGAGTTGATGGTGTCCATGGTCGCAAATCGCAATAATGTGTGCACAAATGCTACAATTTTTTAAATATTTATTTTAACAAAAAATGGTCGGGAAAAAATAATTTTTCTAAAGCAAATTGGGCTTTCAATAAAAACCAATGAAAATTACTACCTCATCAATTAATTCGTAAAGTCATATATCTACTATATCATTGCCCCGCATGCTAATTAACACAAATAGTCGATCAATTAATATTTAATCTTGTTTCCAGCTTAGTGACAAAGTTGGGGTTTGAACTCCACTAAAAACCTAAAAAGTCATTAGGAAACTTTGACCAATCACTGTGGTGAAGATATCTTGTGCGCATAAATATATATGCAACGGAGAACTTGGAATCAATCAAACAACGTAACTCGATCGGGATATTGTTATTTGGTCATTATTGTTTGTAATAAATAGAATGTTGAATTGTTTGAATTGAAAGCAATTAAGTTCCTCCATGACAAGATGGGTTAGGGTTAGTTCCTTCAAATAAAAACGTGTGTTCAAGAATAACTCAAATCTAGGTGACATTGATGGAACATTTCATTTGGCCCAGCCGGGAGCCCGCCTCCACATTCTTGCATAATATATTGCTCCAATTAATTGTTGAATATATACTAACTTCACGTGCCATTGTATGAACAATATTCATACATCGGAGTATAATTGTGCGTGCTAGCTAGCTACTTAGTTATCCCATCTATTCATATATAGTCACACCAATAATATAATCTATCTACTCCTTCATTATTGGAAGGAATTGAACCAGTCAAAATATATAATCAAGAGTGATTTTGAAGAATTGCTACTTAGTCAGTATTGTGTGTTTTATTGTCTCAATTAAATGATAGATGCATATTCATTGTGAATAGGAAAATGATAATTGTATTTATAGATTTTTTTTTTTGAATCAATTACATCAATAATGAGTAAAAAGTAAAAGCATATGTAGCATTAGTTTATTCTAAATATTATGTGAGTTGAGACTTGGGTGGATGCCCCCCACACTTATTTTGTTTTTATTATACATAATTACATATGCAGAACTATATAATTTGTGAAATGACCTTTATGGCCCACAGATAACCCTTCAAACCATTTTAGAACGAGAGTACAGACAAACATTGACAACCAGCTTTCTGTGGACAAGATATTATTGGACCACAATTGTAACTCAAATGTGGATCACATTTACACAACCCCAGGGATTTGTTTGTCTGTGAAAAAGGGAATTTGCATTGTGCGGTGCAAAACAATGTCGTTTTGTACTTTAAAAAAAAAAAAAATGTCAAATAGGCCCTCAAACTTTAGCTTAAAAGTCAATTAGGCTCTTAAACTTTTTAAAGGTTCAATTACACCTATCAACAATTCATTTAGGTGCGATGAAGCCCAAAAACAAGTTAATGACCTGTCATCACAGGTCATTAGGGTTCAGGCCACCTTCCGACGAATTTTTCGACAAAAAAAAGGTGACCAGCAACCGACCCAGATTTGTCGAGAATTTCGCCGGTCACTTCTTTTGTCGAAAATTTCGTCGGTCACTTTTTTTTTTGCCAGAAAATTTGCTGGAAGGTGGCCTGAACTGTAATGACCTGTGATAGCAGGTCATTAATTTGTTTTTGGGCTTCATTGCATTTAAATGAATTGTTGATGGGTGTAATTGCACCTTTAAAAAGTTTAAGGGCCTAATTGACTTTTAAGCTAAAGTTCGAGGGTCTATTTGACCCTTTTTCCAAAAAAAAAAATATTTTTTGTGTCAGTTGTTAAATTTTTTTTTTTCTTTTAAACATGTTTAAAAAATGTACATAATTGTATAACAAAATACATATACTCGTTTTTGAAAAGATAATACACATAATCTAACATAATACACATAAATTCTTAACTCTTAAAAAAAATCTCTGTTTCGGATGTACATAATTGTATAAAAGAATGTACATAATTGTATAACATAATGTACATAATTATATAACATAATGTACATAATTATATAATAAAATACACATACACTTTGTCGCGTCAACTCCCTACACAACTTAACAAAACGACGTCATTTTGAGAGGCGCGAGATGTACATTACTATGTGTGTCATGGTGCACGGTATAATTAACCATTGGTGAAAAACTCACTTTCAAAAAAAAAAAGAAAAAAAAAGAGTTTTATTTTCATATCATCATATTTACAATTTATTTACTACACAGTATTTCTTTACACTCATGCAATTCCAATTCACTTTTAAAATATAATAATAATAATAATAATAATAATAATAATAATAATAAATAAACGTTGTTAAAAAAAAAAGGGTCCAATCTATCACATTAGGCAAAGTGAAGCCATGAATTTTGTCAAAGAGTTCTACTACATGTACTTTCAAATTTTACTCTCTCACTTGTACTCTATGTGGTAAATAATGATAAGATAATTTTATCATGTAGGTCCCAAAAAAAAAATGTTTACATCAAGAATTTGTGAGAAGGAGTATAAGTTAAGAGTAAAAGTAAAAGTACATGTAGTTTTTTTCTTTGTCTAACTTACAAGACATTTGATAATTTATTAAAAAGAAGGTGTCATCTCATGTAAAAAGAGCTCTATTTTTAAAAATAATCAAAGCTTAATTTCCTCTGTAAATCGTTGAATATTATATTGACAAAATGACCAACAAAATAGCGTGCAACTATCGAAGCCATGTACAAACAATGCCAAATTGTTCCCTAGAAAAAAAAAAATCTCATAGCCTTTGCAAGAAAGTACGTGATTTTGTATGATTTCCTTATTACCCAACATGAAAAGAAAAGCTAGCTAGCATTATCAATTGAACTATATATTGATATCTATTGTTATTATTTATTTTTTTTTGAATGTTACTGACTCTATTACTATGTAGTATTTGTTCATAATTACGCATTCACTGAGACTCGAACTTACAACCTCCCATATGGGAGTCCAATCCAGATGCGCATAAGATGCTTGGCATAAATATCTATTGTTATTGTTATTGTTGTTGTTATTATTATTATTATTATTATTATTATTATTATTATTATTATTCTAGATATTTTATCTACTTAGGTGTTGTCTGCTTATGCTGATTTGTCATGAATTACTACATACTAGAATACACCCATGATATGCTCAAGCATGTATATATAGGAATTGTCATTTATAAAATTAGTCCTCAATTTACCCGTCAAAGTACCTATGAAATTTTTGTACTACAATGATTTATTCAATTTAGTCTTTATATTTTTATTCTGTTTAATTTAGTCTCTCTATTTTAAAAAGTGGTGAAACTAAGGATAATAGTTAATTGTGTTAATATTACCATTAACTTAACTTACGTGATGCTGACATTATTGTTGTCACATCATGATATTTATATCCAACTCATATATTATTTTATAAATATTTAAATTAATTATTTTATTACATTAATATGTTCAAAATAAATAATTACAAGCATGCTAACATCAAGTGTCCAAATCTCATTAGGAACATGTTTGTAATTATTTATTCTGGACATACTAATTTAATATATTGGTGGTAAAAATAATTAAATTTAAATATTTATATTAAGTAATATATGAGTAGGAATATAAATATCATGATGTGACAATGATGATGTCAGCGCCACGTAACTTAAGTTAACGATAATATTAACACCGTTAACTATATATTGTCCTTAATTGCACCACTTTTTAAAATACAAGGACTAAATTGAACAAAATAAATGTATAAGGGCTAAATTGAACAAGACACTATATTACAAAAACCTCGTAGATACTTTAACCCAATTTACCCAAATATATATGATTTTTTTTTTTGGATTACAAGGAGGGCCAAACCCGGCGTCTAACAATTAACACCCTCAGAGATAATATTTGTTACCTATCTTTTGTTTTTTTGTTCTTTAATTTGACACCTAATATTGTACGTGTTACATCATATGTCATTGATCATCTTTCATATGTTGTACCATGTTACATGCTAAATAGAGAAAAGCAAATTGTAATTGATTACAAAAGTTAGCAGAGCAACTAAATTTGCATATATTTGAATACATTATATTAATGACAAATTTTATAATTGGCAATTGTCATGTAACAAAATGACTAGACGAGAATAATGGTCATGTAACAAAATTATTTTTAGTGTACTATACATAAATTTTTAGTAAGTTCATTGCATTTTAGTACAAATTAATTTTAGTATATTATAGGTAAGGATGTTCATAACCGAAAAAAAAAATTAACAATAATGGACTGATAACTAACCCAAAAACTGAAAAATGATTTTTTAAAAATTGTCACAACTATGATATTTATACATGTAATAATATAATGAATCATACATTTTGTATTGTGAGTAATTATCTCTCCCCACGTTGTTCTGGAGTTAAACCTCCTGTTCCACAAGCAGGGCAACCCTTCAGTCCAAAGCCTTGGCAGTCATAACACCTATATATATTTTCAATCACATTAAAATCAAAGTTTACAATTTAATTTTCCCAAATAAAATTACAAAATTGAAAAATATAATTTTCCTTATGAAAAAAAAAAAAAACATACTTCCAACGTTCGAAGATGTTTCCATTCTTCTTGTTCTTCCCCGTACCCTATATACATATATGGTGATAGAATTTGAATTACTACTATTCTTGCCATAAAAATGAAACCTTTTAAGTTTTAACTAATTAATTCATGAAGATCAAATAATACTTGGTATGAAGTTTTACCAGTTATTTAGATTCCAAATGGTTTTGATTTCAATTGAAACTAGAACTAGATCATATTTTTAACCTAACCAGCCAGGTTGGTCGGGCTGTTATTTTAGTAACAGACCATAAGACTTCAAGTTTGACTTTTAGTGGGAGCAAAGCAACAGAATATTGACTTTTTTATTTGAATACAATAGTCCTTTGCTATGTAAGATTACAAAGTCGGGTTTACTCGATATGCACCTTACATCCAGGGCATTCAATAGCACCTTGACCTCCACAACTTTTACACTTGTTTATAATCTGCAAACTCATAAACACACACACATGAAATAACCAACCAATTAGTTAAGTGAATATACGGTAACCGAGAGAACGACAATGAAAAAGATGTGTTTCGTCTCAACTAAAAAAACGAATAGAAAGACATACGGATTTAAAAGGGCCGCCGCCGCCCCCTCCACCACCAGATTTTGCTGCGCTTGTGATTATAAGTGTGTTCTTCCCTCTTTGACTCTGCAGAGGTTTTGCATCTTCCGGTGAAGTTATGAGATTGAGGCGGCGGGGATGGTGTGGTGTAAGTGATGTGCTAACAAAGTTGCTGGTTAGGGAAAGGTTGGCCATGGTGTAGCGATCAGTAGTGTAAGTTTCCAAATTGGTGGCATTTTATGGCGCTCCTTAAAATGGATTTAGAGATGTGGATAATGGGAGCACAACATCCACATATTTTTATTTTATTTTATTTTTGGACCCTCTTCTTTAATTTTGCCACATGCCCCCATTATTTTTACTTTCAGTTTCTAAATTGTATGGATGTAAAAAAAATAATAGCAAATCGTAAATATATGTTAATATTATAATATGATCTGGTTTTAAAAGTGAGAGAATTGAAAGGATAAAATTTTATATTTTAAATCTTACAAATGCTTTAATCACTAATGCAAACGAAAGAATCCGGGAGGGTGTGGTCAAGTGAAATGAACTCATCCAACCTTAACCAAAGATCAAGGGTTTGATCTTGACTTTAGGTATAGAACAACCTTAAATCTCCAAACCAGTTGTCTCACCCAAAAGATGTGCCTATAATTCAGCAAGTGGATTAGTCATCTGTCCGACGGTGGAAACCTGGGTTCACCCAAGAAAAACTAATGCAAACGAAAGTAAATGTGTTATAGGAATCTAAAATACATTTATGACCATTTAACAAAATCTATTACAAGTTTTCAAAAAAACAAAATCTATTACAAAATTTTAAAATTATCACAGTTAAAACACAATGAGTAATACTACACATATATAGCCCTTATCTCGTACCTATGAAACAATAAGAACTAACATTTATAAGTGTAAGATGGGAGAAGAGTCGATCTTTTAGCAACATTTTCATGCATCAATACAACTATAGTGTCTGTTCTTCAATACAAGGAGCATCCTATATTCCTTGATGAAAGCAGTTATCTAATGCAAAAGACTACCACACCGGGCGGAATATACATAGTTCTTAAGGACACTGCAAAAACACGAAGCACAAACTGTTTTACAAACAGATGCGACATTCCTGGCGGCCCTATGCTCCATCTGGCTGGAGAAAAGGATTGGCAATCTCATCTGTGCCGTCAGTTGGCGCCACAAGCATAACTGCAGTCCCCCTACAGACCTGCATAAATACAACTAGGCATGTTAATTTTCAAAAGGTTAACGATGCAGATCTCTTTGCAATACAGAACCAAGGCTGTGATGGATAAATTCGAAAATGGCTGATTTGTTTCAGGATGATTCAGAAAACAGACACAGAAATGTACGTATCAAAATGGAGTCTGAAATTAGAGATAGGTAATTACTAAAATACGTATATCAAACTGGGTTGTTAATGAAGTTTACAAGTTTCAAACAATATTCGAACTTAAATTCCAGCCATCTGATGAGAAGTTGATGTAAGTACCACAGTAAGTTTAATGGAAACTCTGATATATACTTTAGAAAGTGGGTAATCAGATCACTTCTCGACTAAAGCCTTCCTCCTTCCCAACCGAAAAGGGAAAAGGAAATAAAAGCATAATATAATAGCATGGTTACTACAGGCTGCAGTATTAGCTACAACCTATGCTACATATCAACCTGTTAAGCAATAATAGACACACACACACACACACACGAAAACAAACAGAGAGAGCATAACATACAATTAATCCAAGACGCCGTGTCTGATCTGTTGTCTTCAGAGGATCATCGGAATCTGCACCAAAAGTTGTTTAGCCATTTTTAGTATCACAGGAAATATGAAAATAGTCATTACAGTCAAACTCCAAAGATAGTATGTATACATAGAATGAAATTTTCCAATTAAACAATTATTACATAATATAATATATATTCCACTTTGCCAGAATAAAGAACCAGAGGAGAAAGACAATATATCATTCTTCCAAATGATAATGCAGTACAAATGATTTAAGTGAATTGAATACAACATTGGTGAGGACTGAGGTCTGAGAAACATGAAGGAATTAAAGAGGCATGCAAATAATCCATCACAGCAAGTAGTCAACAACAAACAGTAAAGACCCATGGAATGCATATCCCACCCCCATCACTTTCTTCTGAAGTCAAGAAGAATTAGATCAAATTTAATAGTTCTCCTTTATCCCTATATCTAGCCAAAAAAATTTTACCTCTAAGATACTCAATGGCTTCATCCAAGACAAGATTCAGCAATTGGTCATAGCCTTTTAGTGTTCCCACAACTGTGAACAGAGGAAAAATAAGCAATGTGTCAGAACTAAGCTTCATACTGCAAAATGGAATTATAAAGCATAATTTAGCCAATGCATGGCGGTGAATTGTAATAACAAAGATATAAAATAATCTCAGTGCTCTCATATATGCCTCACATGGATCCTCTGTATTCTTTTTCTCTTTCATACTCGTCTTTAATTCCAAGGTATGTAACCAAAGTATAACACAACAAATCAAAGCAAGTATATTTCGGGCTTCTGGAAAACTTAGGAAGAAAAGAAAACAACTGACCTTGTCTGCCACCAGTAAGCTTTACTTGCACACCCTTGTCAACGAACTTTGCCAAATCTAGAACTGTTTCTTTCCTACCTGACTGTAGGAAAGAAACAAACAACAGGCCTTTAATGTCAACCAACAAACATAGATGATTGAAACTGTTTTCTGTTTTTTTTTTTGTTTCTGATCCCAACTAGTAGCTCATGCACAAATGCACAATAAGAAAGCACATGAGCATACATATATAAAGCTTAAAACCATTTTCATCATGGTTGTCAAATTAACATCCTTTTGATTACAGTAAATTTGATGCTTCTTTTCTTCTTTTAAGAAAAAAAGTGTACTTGGAGATGCATACAAGGGGTTAATACTACAATTAAGTCATATTTAAATAACTGGAAGTCTAGAACTATAATTTTAGAATCTGAGAACATCTTTAGAGTCTGATACATTTTTAAAAAATGCATAAATAAAGCTCCTCAGTCCTCAATCTCATATTTCTTTAAGCCAACTCAAATTATTCATATTGATTCAATGAGCAGTTTAGTTGACTAATAAGGCCAATTTGAATAATCTTATGCAAGCATTTGTGCCAATTGTAAAGCGTTTGGATAGGCTTGTTAAAAATAATTTATGCATTGAAAACTATGTCGAGCTTATTTCCATAACTAACAACTTTCGGGAAGTCCTTATCTTAAAAGCACTTACATAGTTATATTAAGCTGTTTATTCAAACAAGCTTTCATCAACTTCAAATCTAGCATTGATATTTTGACTTTTTATCTAAAATTATATGAACGTGTAACAGAACAAAGATGCTACCATTCTAATCTTTATTCGATCGTACACAAATTCGTTGCAATACTCCCCAGTTAAACAGCAAAACAACACCCTGCAAAAATTACAAAAATCATGAAAATGCAGTAAATTCATACACATCAAGACGGAATTTCAAAAACCTAACAGATTTATTTCCTAATTTTTTAGAAGCAAAAGCAAAAGCAAAAGCAACAGTAAATGCATACAATGGACTTAGTGACACATGAAGGCACATGCTAGAAGCTTGAAGCATTACCTTTCGGAGCTCAAAAGCTGTGCCCTAACTTCTCTTCCCCTTCTCTCTCTCTTCTTTCCCGCTAAGTCTTGCAGAGGTGCAGCAGTGATTGCAGTGGAAGTTAAAAGGAGTAAAGACTAGCCATTTCCGGATCTTAATCAAGCCCACTTAAGTCTGATGAGCCCAAAATAACGGAAAATTTAAGCATATTTGGGCTATAAATTTATATTTCAAGCCCACTTAAGTCTGATGACAGGCCCGCAGCAGCCACTGTGGCAAATTATGCCGTGCATCTGTATGCACCATGCATGGTATATACGGTTGTAAAAACGACGTCGTTTTGCATCAAAACTCGTGTCCTACTTTAAAAAAAATCGATTTCGATTTCCAGCAACAACATTATGTTATTCATTTTTTAGTTCATTCATTCTGGATTTTTAGTTATTAAATTCTGGATGTATAGTTATGCAATTCTGGATGTATAGTT